GATGCGTCCCTGGCTTCCTGGTCGGCCTTCTGCCGCATGTCATCTGTCGGCTCCTCCCAGGTGCCCTGCCACTCGGGGAAAGACTTGGTCATGGATGGGTTTTCCAGTCATGGATTTGGTCATGTATGCGGTCATGGATCCGGTCATAGTTTGTCATTAAGTCATGGATTTGGTCATGTATGTGGTCATGGATCCGGTCATAATTTACACATATGAGTGGCGATTCATGATCAGTCATGCTGCACAAGGAGCATGACAACTGTCATGGCCATGACTCTGCCTCATGACCGGTAACATGACCGGTCATGAGGCCTCATGAGTGGTCATGAGGCAACATGACCAGATCTATGACAGGAAACCCCCCGCATGACCACATCCATGACCAAGTCGTTCCCCGAGTGAGCTTGGTCATGGATGGGTTTTCCAGTCATGGATTTGGTCATGGATGCGGTCATGGATCCGGTCATAATTTGCCATTAAGTCATGGATTTGGTCATGTATGTGGTCATGGATCCGGTCATAATTTGTCATTAAGTCATGGATCCGGTCATGGATCAGTTCATAGTTTGCATAAGCAAGTGCAGGATATGACTGGTTGGGGTCATGAAATGCATGGTCATGATGTCATTTATGATGGGATTTATGACAGGTCATGGGACCGCGATATGACCGTATTCAGTCATGGCTGCACCTTATGACCCCATGAGGTCATAAAGGTGGTCATGTACCTGCTCATAAATATGCGGAACATGACCAGGTCATATTGCGCATGGTATTCCATGATGCAACAATGCAGGCCATGACCACCCTAGCCCATGTTTTGCACTCATTCCATGAGTCGTACACTGCACTCCATGACCACCCTGGCCCATGTTTTGCACTCATTCCATGAGTCGTACACTGCACTCCATGACCACCCCGGCCCATGTTTTGCACTCATTCCATGAGTCGTACACTGCATTCCATGACCACCCTGGCCCATGTTTTGCACACATCCCAGAAGTTGTTCACTGTGGGCATATAAGTCTTGACCAGCAACCCATCAATATGTGGGCTCCAGACTCCAAGTCTGCTATCACAAATAAATGTATGTACTCCAACACACCACACTGTTAAGGTGACAAACCTCAATGTTTCAGTGGACCACTCAGGTAAATCACCCACCAGCGCTGCTAGCAGCATCCTATCAAGTAAGCCGGATCACATGCAGCTCAACTACATTCCTGAACCACAACTGCCTTCCACTATCAATATCATAGCTATGAA